AGAGCAGAGCCCAGATCCCCAGGAGTCCCAGGAGCCCCAGGAGTCCCAGGAGCAGCGGGGCCATGAGGACAGCGGCAGTGGGGCCCCAGCTCCCTCCCTGGGCCCACCGTCCCGCCCTGTGCCTTATAGGCCTCCGAGAGGGCGTGCCAGCACCCCACCCACCCCACCACCCCGAGAATGTGGAACAAGCAGTTTGCAGGGGACAGCCAGGCTGCTTAAAGCGACAGGCGTGTGTGGAATGTGGGGTCGAGTCTGTTCAGGGAGCGGGCCCGTGGCGTCTGGGGGCAGGTGTCCTGTGTTTGAGGCATCCCATTACGCGGCCAGAGAGGACCCATGGTGGCCCGTCTGCCCCTCCTGGCCAGTCTCGGTCCTCTGCCTCAATCTCCCCGTCAGAACCAGGACTCCTAGGACTCAGGGACCCGGCCCAGCTCTGAGGGGAGGAGCCCGCCCTCCCCATGCTGAGCCTTCTCCACAGGACCCCATGGGTGTGAGTTCTGTGGGCCTCTCTCAAACCCACCACCTCCTGTGTCCACCCAGCTCCTCTCTGATGGGCCAGTGGGAGGTACCAGGTGTGGAGACCCCAGCTGGCCCTCGAGGGTCTCCGCACAGCAGACGCCTCAAATCCCAGGGCCTCAGTGTACCCCCCCATCGAGGCTCTGACGTGAGCTCGCCCTGGTGGCTTTATCAGCACTGTCACCTGGGGCAGGAGGCACCAGCCTGCACCAGGACAGAGTGGAACTGACCGCCAGAGAGGCCCACCCCACAGCCAGGGCCGGGCAGGGCAGGGCCGCTGGGTGACAGGTGGCTGGGTTTACAAGCCCAAGCCCTCGCCTGTCTGTGCCATACTCCTGTCTCCCTCACCTTGGTGGCCGGGCTGGGGGGGAGGAGGCTCCACTTTGGAAAAGAGCTGGGAGGGGCGGGAAGGCTGTTGGCACCAGAACTGGCTGGGCCTGCTTCACACCACCTGCCCCGACATGAGGCAGCTGGAGCCCCATCTCCACAGCCTGGGCCCCTTACCATGGGGCTGGTCCCCTGGGGTGCCTCCATGCCCCTGCAAAACCCTTGCCCACTCCCAGCCTGACTTGCACACCTCCAGGGATGGAGTGCTCACTACTGAGCAAGCGGCCTGTCCTACCGCACAGCTGTGGGATGCAGAGGGAGAGGACAGCTCTCTTAACTGCTGGGTCTTCAAGTCCAGTTCCCAGGCTGCTACTGGGTGTGCAGGCTGGGGGCTCTGTCTGTCCAGGGAAGTTCAGTTAATTTGGCAGCTTTTATTGAGCACCTGTGAATGCAAGGCTCAGCCAGGAGATAGGGCAATGGAAACAGGTGGTGCAGGGATCCTAAAAGGGCCTATATAGCAGTGACTTTGCCACCAAAAACCCCTTGGGCACGATTGGGGACACCAGGAGGCACGAAGGATGAGGATCCTCAGAGGCTCCACCTTGGAGCTGAGTCACAGGATTATCCCAGAGGGAACGGCCTGTGCAAGGCCTGGAGTGTGAGAAGCAGGGGCTGGGACGGGGGCTGCCGGGCAGGGGCCCTCAGCCCTGAATGTGCCTGGTGGGAGCTGCACTG